CTCTTGAGTTTTGGGGCAAGTTTGATGTGTCTTTCTGAGCTCAGTTGTTTCAACTGCAGACCTGGTGTGGCTTTAGCTTTTCAGCGCTGCTTTAGGCCTACTTTTATTTAAAGCATTTTAAGGTCCTCGGACTGCTTTTAAGAGCACAGTGAATTTCTTTCCTTAAAAAAAAAAAAAAAAAAAAAAAAAAAAAAAAAAAAAAAAAAAAAAAAAAAAAAAAAAAAAAAAAAAAAGGCCTACCATAGAAGCTAAAAATAGGAGATAATAGTTTTTATCTAACCACAACTTTGCGCATTTCGTGGAAAAAGCTTCCAACAGGACATGAGGATGAAGCGGTTCATGGCCATGTTAAACAAGAATAAAAACAAGGATCCCCCACCCTCCAAGCTGCTGGATTTAGCAGGAAAGCTTTGCCGGGACCTCCAGAGCTCGTCCCCTCGTCTGGAGAAGCTGGTTGGGGCCGTGATGGGATGCAAACACAAGATGTATTTTCTCACCAACATCCACATTGTCCGGGCTTGCGTGTCTGTTCATATCCGTAATGGGCAGCACGACAGAGCCTGCAGCCTCCTGGAGGTAGGGATGTGTTCTTTGGTTCTTCGTGGAAACAAAAAGCAGTACTGGAAAAAAAATAGTTAGAGCTGTTAGTGCAGTATGTGTGTGTTGGTTGACCTGAAACACAGGATAAAGCCTTTGCTAGGGGCAGTATTCATCAGCCAAGGGGAAGAAGGTGATTATGGGGTTGGCTGTAGCAGGATTTTCCTTGTTTAGCGTGGTGGTTCTTGGAGATTTTCACAACCTTAGGGCTCAGGCCATAAAAGCCTTGGGAAGCCCGAGATTAGAGTGCTTGTCAGGGTGGGAATATGTGAGGAAGGCTGGATGGTGCCACTCACAGTGAGGGATTTTGGCCTCTAGATCTGGTCATGTAGCCCTTTTCACCAAGGGAAGAGAAGGAATTAAGCAGGCAGCTCCCTGTGTACATTAGAGAGGGTACAGGAGCCATGTGCTCAGGCAACATACCAGCTTTGTCAAACCAGTAGGAATCTCTGAGTAAATTTCTGTTGTTGCAGGTTTTCTCTTTTATGAGAAGTCTGACTCCCAGGAAGGGTTTGTTTATACACTGTTTTGTTTTAGCGCTGCAAGGCAGAAGAGAAGGAAGAACTGGTGCAACTTTGGCACGAGGTTCACTATCAGAGGGTTATGGAGAGACAGCACAAGGATTTTCTGACACCAGTGCAGAGATTCCGTTGCAGGAAGAGGTACTGCATCGTGGGGGGACCAGCACTGTTTTCTCTGCTGCAGTTAGCAGAGGTAGGGGCTACAGATGCACAGACTGGTTTTGCACGTCAAGATGCTGCTTCTTGGAGCTGGTTCTTTTCTTGACGTTTTGACCACTTGTGGCAGTGTGAGAAAATTCCCATGAACGTCAGTGGCTCTTTGGGGTCCTTTTTAATCCTGTTTTCTCCTGTGTACAGGAATCCTCCACCTATTTCCCTCTGTCCTGAAGGTTTGAAGACTAGAAACTATCCAGAAGAAGTCCGCCAGCATCTGCACAGGTTTGCTGTAGAGGTGACAGCAAACCCAGACAAGAAACAGCGGGTAGGGATGTGCTGCTCACAGTCAAGTCTCCTTGTCACAGAAACCAGGACTCTGTGATCAGAAATTGGGAATTGGTGTTTTCAGAAGCCTCACTAGGGCTGGGATTCCTTGTATTTGATCTTTCCCTAAAGGTTTCTTTAAAAAAAAAAAAAATCCTCAGGTTCATGCTAAGTAACTTCTCTTGGTGTGGATGAGAAGTTGAGGGCAATAAATTCCTCTCTGGGTTTTTAACAGTTCTAATTTTGTAGTGATTGAGCACTGGCACTCAGCCGTCACTCAGAACAGCTCTATTACAGTGATAAATAGTTCTGTCTGCCTGGACTGAGTCACAGCCTGTGGAAAACTGCACTCTGCTCATCAGAACGTATTTTAAGCTGACTTATCACATCAAATTCACAGCTTTTGAAAACACAATAGGCTGTGTTAATGCATGCATAGATCTACCTTCTTTGGACAGGGACACATTTGTAGTGGAGGTGAGGGCTTCACAGTTTGGAGTCTGCCTCTGTGAGTGTCATTCTGGGGGGTGAGTGTGCTCTGGTGAGGGCATTATTTGGTGAGCAGTGTAATAGCACTGTGTGGTTTCCTTTAGCAAACAAATTGTCTGGGGGTGCAGGGTGGAATGTGTGTTTTCTGTCAACTCTGACTTTATAAATCAAACTCCTCCATCGGACCCACAGAGACTTCTTGGAGACCCAGTGAGTGAATGCCCCTGGGTTTGAAAGCTCTTGCTGGGCTGCTTTTGGAACTGAAGGGAAAAGCCTGATTATTTGGATGTGGTTTATTCTTTCCCCCTTTGTCTCTACCTACACCTGGGTTTGCAGGAGGGATTGGCTCGGGACATGAACCTGCAGCCAGTTCAGGTCTATAATTGGTTTGCAAATTATCGGCGACGCCGAAAACCCTGCGTCCTTCCCACGGAAACGCTCCCCAGCTCCTGTCCTGAGAGGGCTTGGACTTCCCTCACAGAGGAGGAGCAGTCTAAAGGATCCTACGCTCCACAAACTGCAGGTTTGTATCTTCTTAAGGGGCTTAGGATGTGGTCCAGAAAGCCAAAAATCAATTTTAAATTCCCTCGGGAAGGGAAGAAATTGCTTGTTGAGAACAGTATCTGTATGCTGATGGATCAGGTGGACACTGGAGAATGTCATTGTTTGGGCAGAGGCTGTGAGTCCATAGGAGCAGACACTCATGAGGCCTGTGCAGGGACAGGTGAAAAGGGATGCCTGGCTCAGAAGGGGCACCAAATGAAAGCAAATACATGGGAGGCAGCAGGTTTTAGCTCTCAGATTCTGGGATCAGGGCAGTACTCCAGGAAAACCCGCTATTTCCACGCCCCTGCACAGAATCTTAACCAAACTTCAGTCACAGGGAACAGGGGGTCTTGCTGTATTTTGCAAATTAGACTTGTTTCACTGCCTTTTGGACTAACCATTAGTGTTCTCTCACCTACCTGGCCTGCACCTTTCAGGTGGATCTCATGCAGGCACTGGCTCTGAGCAAATGGAGATAACCCTCGTGCCCTGTGAGCCAAGGTGGGAGCAGTCAGCTGCAGATCTGGATAAGCCTCCCAGAGGAACGTATTTAGCGATGCTGGAATCCAGGTGATGTATGAAAAAATCTTTAGAAGTGACAGTTCGGAGACAAAACAGCCTTTAAACATATTCATGGGACTGACTTTCATGTCAGTTCCCAGGGGACATCACTTAGGAGACTTGACACCACAGATGGACATGGTGCCTGCCCAGTCAGAGCAGTTGATCTCCCAGCTGTGGAGGGCAGGATTCAAAGGTTTAGCTGGGGATCCCCTCTTGGCCAAGCAGTGTGGTCGGGCTGATTTATGTTCTCCATCATTACAGCTTTCTGCAGAGCACTGAGCTGCTTGAGGCAGGAACAAGCACGGCTTTGTTCTCCATTCCCAGCACTGAACAACCTGCCCCTTTCTGCAGCGAGGCTGTGCTGGAACCAGGGCCCTGCTTTAGGCCTGCTGTGCTGGAGCCCAGAGCAGCAGTGAGCAGTGCTGGGGCCAGCCCCCAGCTGGGGAGTTTGGTCCTGTGCTCTTGCAGGCCCCTTCCCGTCCTGGATGAAGGCCTGGCCGTGTGGCAGAGCCCTTGCAGCACCACAGGAGTCTCTGGCTCTGCGTGGTCCCCAGGTTAGTAAAACTGCACCCAGATTGTTGACCTTAAGATTTTCCAAGCTTCTCTTCCCTTTGTTGTAAACACTCTTGCTCACTTTAGTGGCTTTCCAATGTCATGACACATGGGAGTGGGGCTTATTTTGAGCTTTGAAGTTCTGTCTCTATATTAGTTTAATAAGAAAAATCTATTGATTTAAGGTGTTGAAACAGACATTCTTACCTACTCTTTTGCTTAAACTATAATTGCTTCCATAAGATATTAATGGATTCCTTTTAGTGTTTCCACTGGAAGAGTCCCTCCAGGTGCTGTCTGCTCCCCATGTCTGTTTTTAATGCCAGTTATCCTTAAGAGATTGCTTGAGAAGAGGCTGGGAACTTCTTAACTGTGACATGGTGCTCTTCAGGCTCACATTCTCAATATCTTTTCATCTTCCTGCTTTTCTTCCCCTCTTCTCCTTTGTCTCCTTCCTGTCCAGTCTTGTTCAGCATTCCCACCATCTCTTTTCTTCCCCTTGTTCTTCAGAATAGCCTTGATAGGATACATAAGGAATGTCCACTTGCTTTTGCTGTAGGTGTACAGAACAGAAAGGGCTGTGGCTGCCATTCCCCCAGCCCCTGGTGAATGTGGAGCAAGGGGAGAAGGAATAGCTGGATCACCTTATCTGCCTCTCTACTTGTGTTTAATGCAAGCATTTATTTCGGCAGGTATCAGAGTTCCCTTGAGCAGAGTCCCTCAAGGTGGCTGCATTGAAGGCAGTCCAGGAGGAATCATTCAGCAGTCAGATTTAGAGGTTGAAAGCTTCATCCTTAGAGAAGGACAGCTAGGGACCCTGGAAGCTATTCCCCACAGGTAAAGGGAGGGAAAGCACAGGGCTGCTTCAAGGCAGGAATAACGATGCTGTGGGTGTAGCCCTCTCCTGAGACCCCGTTGAAGAGGGTTGCAGAAAGAGTTTAGTGATGCATCTCATTCCCAGGGCCTGATTCTCCTAAATACCTTTGCAGGTATTTATATCTGTGCACTGGAAATGTTGTGTAAGTGTATATGTGTGTGTGTGGCACAAAGGGGATTTGGAACCAGCCTAATCAGAAAAGACACGAACCCCTCTTTTGAAAGGAGGTTCAGCTTCTGAGCTATTTGCTTGTTTTTGGCAGGAAATCATAACCTGTACTGATCCAGTGAGAGCTGATTCTGTGGGCTGGGTTGGTAGGGCCTGTACTTAATCCTAAAATAGTTTTTGTAGCTTCACAACCCCATGACAAGATTATTCCATAGTGCAAGCTTTCCAAATTGGAAGACAGGCACTGTTCTGTCTTTCTGTTTTCCACCTGTAACAAATGTTTCAGAATTCAGATTTTCTCTGGGACTTCACATAAATTCAGAGAATGCAAAACAACAAAAATTCGTGCCATTTTCCATATGTTATACAACTTGCATCAAGTTACATAAAAATAAACAGCGCCAAAGAGATATTATGAGCTTCCTCCACTTTACTGATCTGCAAGACTGCGCAGGAGCAGCAGCCCCATTTCACAACCCATCTGTTGACACTGTCCAGCATTTGTGCTATAGCACTACAATGTCAATATGGCAAAAAGGCAGGTAGAAGAAGCTTTATTCCCACTTTATAGAGGAGGAAGCAGAGGCACAGAAAGTTTTGTGACTTGTCAAGCAACAAGGGAAGGCAGTGATTCACTGGAGATAAAGATCAGTGAGGTTTTGGCCCCAGTTCCCTGCTAAAAACATTTCTGCCTTTTACCCCTGTTTCCCAGTTGGCTTTGTGCCTTGTTCACAGTCGTGTCAGACTCCTCTGAATTGCTGGGGAGAACCCAGGTCTGGGCACTGTAAACCTCAGTCTGTGTTTTCGGATTTGCAGTTTTCAACAGTGGCTAAAGATCACCAAAGATCAGCAAGGCCTGCTGGCAATATTTTGGCTGGATTTAAAATTGCATGTTCCAACTCTGGAGTGAGCTCATGTTTATTTTTAAAATATATGCTGCCAGTAGAAGAAATCTATGGTGGATGTCTCCTTGTTGGGTATGTGAGCTGTGCCAGGAATCCACACACCCTTTATCGTATTCCTGGCAGGGGCGGCACTTGCTGCTTCATTGGCACCTTTTGGTGAGGATATATTATTTGAACTCTATTTGTAAACCCTCTTCAGTGGCCTGGTCCAGCTTCCCCCAGAACCTTGAACTCCCCAGAACACCATGAATGCTATGGAACATCAGTCTTTTTTAGAAGTGAGTGATGCTCAGGCTGCAGTTTCAGCAATTTCATTTTGCAGTTTCTCTCTAGGGAGCCAGGAGACCTCGTGTGGGTGATCTTGGGTAAGATCACTGCTGAGTGAGTGGCAGTGGGTGAGGATCACCTGTGTTATCAGGTAGAGCCCTCTCTCAGTTACTGATTAGAGAGGACTATTGTGTCACTAGAGACCTCTTGAGCAGTCATGTTGCAATGAGCATCACTCATCTGGGGGCTCCTGAGCAACAGCTCAAACTGGAAGAGTCAAACGAGCGTTGCTGTCCTGGAAAGATAGGGCAGTGAAGTTAACCCAGCAATGCACAGAGAAGGAAACTAATTAGCCAAGGTCACCCATCTGGAGTGGACTCAGTGTTATGCTCTCATGCCTTGCCAAACTCTCTACTTCCTGAATGCAGGGATAGAGCTGCAAGTCAGCCAAAGGACCCTTCATCTGCTTGTCTCATTTTTAAAGGTGCTCACCTGGAAAGGACTTGGCCTGAAAGCTTATTAGAACAACTCCTGTTGGTTTCTTTCATGGGCTTTTTACAGCCAGTCCTACGCACTTGGGCTGTATCCAAACCTCTTCTGATCTACAGGGCTGTGAGGTGGGAGTGTGAGAGGGAACCAGGCTGGGAGCTGACTGTCTCCATCTGCTTCTGCTGCCTGAGAGGAGACTTTGATCCAGCTAGCGGACTGCAAGTCCCTGTGGGACACCAAACAGATGCTCACCTTTACAGGGAGCGATGGTGCATCCTCTTCATTCTGCAAGTCAGACCAGGTGGAATGTAGCCCAGCTAATGGTTCATGCAAAGTGGAACCCTCATCTCCCTTTTCAACCAGAAGAGCACCCTGAGCTCTGTGGGGCAAAGCTTTCTGCGTTTCTGAGCCAGCATATTGATGTAGAAAATGTCAGTGCTGGGATGGCCGTGGCAGCTCACAGCTTCTGCCTGCATTTCTGGGAGTCCAGCTCAGAGTGCCGGGAATCCTCCTGCTGTTGGGCTCTCCCTCTGGATAAGCCAGCACCCTGACACTGGCAGGCAGCAGGTCCCCAAAAACAGGGCAAAAAAACTTTGTGGCAGTTGTGTAATTGAGTGGCAGGACTGGTTGCTAGGGGTGCTGTGCATGTTGGTGTAAGTGGGCCGTGGAAAGGGATGAGACATTCCTGGTGGGGGTGGGAGAGGGAATTGAGTCCATTTGTCATTAGGAAATGTGACTGCCTGAAAGCAGCTCCAGCAGAGGAGCTCCCTGATGGCTGCAACCTGGGGAGCATTCCGAGGGAGGGCAGTTTGACACCTGCACTGTTGCTTCTCCTTTTTTCCTCTGCTCTGCTGGTGGGCACCTCTTGTCTGGGCCTGTATGGACACTCACACCCTGGGCTACTCCAGGTGGTGGTATGGGCAGTGTTGTTGGATTAGAAATACTTTAGAGCTGGTGATGATGGGAGAGAACATCCCTTTTTCAAGTACCCAGTGTCTGCTACTTGACCCAGTGCCTGCAGACTGATCTCTTGAGGGGCTGGCAGAGCCCCCAGGGGAGTGGGGATGGGGATCCAGTCCCCAGACTCCACTGGTGGCCTTGAAAAGCTGTAGTAGCATCATAGCCAGTGTTATGGCTATGTCTAAAGCCACATGTTTGTTTTGACTCTTAAGATCTCTGTTTTTAAAATATGTTCCAGGAGAGAGACTTTTTGGTGGACACCTCCTTGATTATGGAGAGCGTTTTGGGGGCAGAAGGAAAGTTGCAAATTGAGATGTCATTCCCTGCTACTGCTCCTGCTCAGGCCTGTCACCCCCCTGCAGAACTTGTATTCTCAGGCCATAACAATTTGGAGAAATGGGGCAGATGTGGGGACGGCTTAGTGGAGCTCTATTAAATGAATAGTCTTGCCAACAAGCCCCTCTTGTCCTGCTGCAAAGTATTACAGGAAGTGGCAAGTAGAGCATAAATACAAATGCACTTGTGTGGGGGTTTTTTGCAGTTCCTGTCAGACTCTGTTTGGCAAGCCTCAGTGCCCACCTGTTTCTGTACCCTGCATGGAAGAAAGCCAAGCCTTGGGACAAAGCCAGGTAAGAGAGCACACCTAATGCTCAGAGAAAGGAGCTCAGCCCTATCACACTATCCCCTGCAGCTCTGTCACAGGAGATGGGAAATCTCCAATCATATTTAAAATGAAACAGTTTGATCTAAGCATACCTTTTGGTGTGCAGTTCAGAGCAAGCTGGGCATTCCCTGGGTAGCATCCAGCAGATACTGGATGAGGAGAGGTGGTTTTGTTGGGTTTCTTTTTCCCACTTGAATTGTTTATTAGACCCTAATTTTATTAAATGTGTCATTGAAGTGGTGGCCAAAGGAACCTGTGCAGATCCAAAGTGTCATTTAACTTTGGAGTCATGGAGGGCTCACCTGGCACTGTGGAATGATGGCTGCTTGAGGGTCCTCTCCTCTGAGGGGTTCTGCACAATCTGATTCTGCTCTCTCAGACCTCTTGAAGTGTTTCATATAATTTTCATTTCCAGGCCTGTGTTAATGTTGAGGAAAGGGGATTTTGCACTGTTCTGAGATGGCTGATATCACTATACAGGACACTGTGATTATAGGCAGGATAAGAGAAGTTAGTTGCATGCTGTGGATGCATCTGCATGCCTTCTGAGAGTGGTTTTAAGGCAGTAGAGAACAGAAGTTGGAAATCTGGTGCTTTCAGAGGGATGGGGGCACATCTTGGAATTAAATGTTTCCTAAATAGGACCCAAGAAAGCCCTCTCTGAGCCGTACATTGAGCTATTTTTTGGCTCCACGTGTGTTGGTCCAACAATCAGCATCCATTGCTGTTTCACTTGCACTGTAAACTGCTGGAGAAAGCCTTTTTAAAAGAGATTATGAAAAGCAGGAGCCCATATCTGCTGGCCTCATCATGGGAAGTGGCTGCAGCTCTGAGGGCAGTAACAGAACCTCTTTTGAGCCTCTGAAAGCATCAATATAAAGATCTGTATCATGGAAAGTGGCCTTTTTACCAGCCATAATGTAAGCCAGACGAGAAGGAAAGCTTTGGGCATTAATAATAAATGAGCCTTTTCTAAGATTTCCAGAGCAGGCAGTCTCTGTAGGTAGTTTTCATCTTGCTGTTCTGCATTCCTGCACTGATTTTGCAGTGGTGTAGAAACATGACACTCAGTGCAGCGTGGGCTGGGGAGCAAGGCACCAAGTGATGCCTGCAGATGTCAAAGGGGACACCCTCAAATCTTTGTAATAATTGCTCAGTTCAGGAATTCAGAAGAGCAATTTTTGCATATTTTAATGAGTGCTCTAGGAAAAGGAAGAGCTTGAATGGGTAAATGATTTTACAGCATTCTACAGACTTCCTGGGCACTTGGCTTCTTGCTGAATCAAGTGGCTCTGGGCTTGTGGCAGGGATGTGCAGATGTTTGGTTCCTATGGCTGAACCACAGGGGTGCAGATGGACACTTATTTTTGTCCACACATGACTCAATTTGCTTTTTGTACATACCATCAGAACCAAAATGAGAGTAAAACAAAAGCTAAAAACCCAAAAATATAATTAATTTTGGAGTCATTTCTTTCCCTTCCTGAGCAGAGCGCCCTTGTTCAGGTGATCACTCCCTTTATTATTTCATCCTGGTCTTACCTTCTGTCAGTCACTGGCTTTTACAGGAGCCAGTGCCTTGGGCAAAGGGAAGGGAATTGCTCTGCTCTGAATTACTGAGAGTTGGACTGTGCAGTGTTTGTACTTGTCACTGTTACACCATGTCCTGCACAGATGGATCACTCTACCTGAGCTTGGAGGGGAGCAAGGCCTTTGTCCCTCCATGCAGAGAGCCCTCAGCACTGACACTGCCTCCCATCACACACCTTGTGCTGCTGCCTGGCTGCCCAAAGGAGCTCTCCCACCGTAAGGAACTGTGTCAAAAATCATATATAGTGAGGTTTTGATTCCTTCCTGTGTCTTTCAGGTCCTGCAGGATCCAGTTGGTGACCCATTAAGCAGCGACACGTTCTGGGCAGCGTGCCTGCTCTTTGAATTCTCTGCCAGCGGACAGATGTGACCTGCCTGCAGAGACACTCCGGGTGGGAAGAGACACTTCCCCAGGAATCACCCCATTGCTGCCTCTTTTTTCCTCTTGTGTTTCTTTATAAATGAATGAGGAGTTTGACAAGGGGATGAATAAGAGTGAGGGAGAAGGATGAAGGCTTTTTCAAATGGTTACAAAGTTTGGTTTACTTACAGTTTTATTAAGAATTTTGCAAAGGGTAGAAGAAACATTGTGGACTGCAGGTTTTTAGTGGAGCAGTCTGAAGCTGTAGTGTAGGAGCTAAAATTACCAAGGCACTGATTCTGTGGCAGTTACATGCATTACCCATAGCACTGGTCAGACCTGAGTCCTTTGTTGCATCATGAAGGTAAATGAAGCTCCTCTACTTTAAAGGAGTAAAATTTAATTATATTGCCTTACAGTGGATATTGGATAACTTTTTCTCAGGTCTGGAAAACAAGGTCTCAGCTCAGTGCTGGTAAAATACTGCTGTTTCTTATCCCTGCGTTCCTGTTGAACTGCAGGGTGTAACTTCTGGAGGGTTCCATGTTCTGTAGTGCCACAGATGACACAAACTGGAGCACGGCAGAATTTTCAGTGTTTAAAGGTCTGGCAGGACTGGAGGGCATACCGTGGTTTTGGTGTTAAACACCAAGAAGTAGCAAGGCAAGCCCTTGGTGCAGGTTTAAAGCTAATCCTGCAAGTCATAGGGAGTGGTCTTTTGGGTATTTTCCCTATTTTCCCTTTTGGGTGTTTTTTGCAGTGTTACTATGATGGATTTAAATCTGTATTGGAGAAGGGGTCATCTTTGCCAAACCTCCAGCCCGGAGATACGTGGAGGAGATGCTTCCCTTACATTTGATACAAAGTTAGCAAATAAAAGTTGTCAATTACTGTTTCTCCAAGGTTCCTTTTTCAAGGTAAGGGTATTAAGTGATAAATGTCTCAAGGCAATTTTGTATTAAAACCCAGCACCAGCTGCCCTGGAAACAATTGTGCACGGTGAGACCCTGATGTCTCCTTTTTTTTGGTGGCTCTCCCTCGTAATGCCCATTTCTTGCCGTTGGGGGTTCTGGCTTCGGAGCAGTGGTGCTTGGAAGGGTCACGCACATGTTGTTGTTTATTGCCTTCAACAGCGGGGCCGGGTTTGTACGGCCCTCGCAGCCCCCGGTGAGGGACGAGCCCGCCCCGCCCTCACAGCCCCGCGCCATCACCGCCCGCCCTCCTCCCCGCGGGGCCGTTCCCGCCGCCCGGGCCGCCTCGCCATTGGCCCGAGGGCCGCCCGTGCCGCCTCGCCATTGGTCCGCGGCACCGTAGCAACAGCGACAGATATATCCTGCCGCGCCCTGATTGGCCGCCGCCTCCCGCCGAGCCATAGCAACAGCGGCGCGCGAGCGGGGCGCGCGCGGGGCGGGGGGGCCGCGGCTGAGGGGGCGCGGGGAGCCCTGAGGGGCGGGTGGCGCAGGGGCACCGCCATCGCGGGCACCGCGGGCACGGGGGCCGCCCTCACGGCCACGGCTGCCGCCGGCACGGCCACGCCGCGGGAAAAACTGTTCTCCAGGCGTTGGCAATGTCGTTTCCGCGACCTGAGGTGGAAAGGAGGCAGGACACGGTCAGGGACGCGGCTGCACGCAGAGGCAGCGGCCCCATAGCAAAATTCACACTGGATTCTTGATAGGCTGTTGTCCGAAATCCCAAATAAGATACTTTATTTTTCCACCCCTACTGGTATGACATGTCACTACGATTACTATGATTTACCTAGTCAGTGGTATGTGATACATGTGGGTGATAACACTTCCATACTGTTGAAGATGTATTGGAGTAAAGAGGAATGATGCCTCTCTTACAATGAGATGTATTTTCAGTTTCTTTCAAATATTTAGTGCTGTTCCCTGTCAGGGAAAAGGACAAGATTAACATTGTGTGTATAGAAATTTTGGGTACCTATAATTTTAAATAAATTCTTTTCTAATAACCCATGCTAGGCAATGCAGGTACTTTGGGCGTGGATATAAATAATTTATTCTACCATCTTAAACATACCAGTGACCTAAGGCCTTGGAAGTTGTTTAAATAGTTCAAGAATACCATTGTTTTGACTTTTTAGTTAAAAAGAAGACGCTCAATTCAGCAGAATTTCTCAGGAGTGATACAACAACAAGTCTCTTCCAAACTTAGATCTGAAAAAGGATTTTCAGCTAAAGCCAAATTAAAGCCTTTTCTCTCACACCTAATGAATTTCATTTCCAAATTTGGCACAGTTGTTCTCAGGAGGACAGCTGAATTTTCTAGGTCATTTCCCAGGTGAAATAACTTACTACTTTTCTGTAAATTTGTTAGACAATTCAAAGCTTAATATGTGAAATTGAGCAAATTAAAATTATTTCTCTTCAAGATATGTAAAATGAAGTGGTTAAAGTACCATGTGTTCCGGCCCACTATTGTCTCATGTCACCTGGAGATTGAACCTGCACAAAACACTTTTGAGGAGCTAATTGCATTTGGACAGGAATTGACAAGCAAGTGATGTCAGAGGATTTGACCGTGCTGAGTTACAGGCCAGCAGAGTCCTGAGGTGGGCTGTGCTTCCCCATCCCTGAGCCAGAACAGAGGGGCTGCCTGGCCATGCAGGGGAGAAAGAACAAGTCAATCTGCTGAATGCCAGTGCTGCTGGGTGGAGTTAGTCTTTGAAGGAGAGCCCAGTGGAGTTCTTTCCATTGTGTTCACACTGGGGTAGCATTTGAATTGTTCGGTTTGTGCCTTACCTCGTTCTGGTTTTCTAGGTGTGATTTGTGTCCCTGTCATGTTCTGCTTTCCCTGTCCTACCATTTGGAACAAGCTCTGGATGTGTTTATGCTGTTCTTCCTTGGAGCTGTACTTGGAAGCACACTGAGCACGTGGCTGACCTGCCCTGAGCTGAATGTGCTGTACCTGCTGTTGTCATTCCTCCTCCTCCACACGGCATGGCCTAGCAAAGGAAGGAACTTGCCCTAGATACAAAAAAAAAGAAAGCCATTTTTATCCTAAAATGCATATAAGGGCCCAAAGAACAGTGCCTATATGTGTTGATGGGTCACAGGAAGGGGATGAAAATCTAGGAGGGCTTTCAGAAGTTCTGTTACTTGGCTGTCCCTGAGGTGAGGGGGACACTTTCCCAATAGTCAGCTATCCACGTTTTCCACACTGCTGCCAGAAGCAGCTTTTCTGTGGGCAGTTCAGCAGACAGCCCTAAGGATGGCAAGGCCAGAGACTGAGCTGTTGCCTGTCAGTGGTTCTCTGTTGGAAGTGGGGTGTGCAAGTGGCCGCATGGAGGACCTGCATGGCAGCTGCCATGAAAATCTTCCCTGGACTAATCCCAGCATGACATGAGCAGCAGCTTTCCCTGCCTGTAGTCCCACTGGCAGTTCTGCTATCACAGTCACTGAATGGGTGTGTCCACGGCCCACTCAGGACAAATGCTGGGAGATAGAGCTTCGAGGCCAGTGTCTCCAGGCAGTCTCCTGCTCTGGATGCCTGGCTCACCTTGCTTGGGGCCTCATTTTCAGAGGAAAGGAGCACTTACATAGTGACTCAAGTAGGGCACCCAGAATAAGAGGCCACTTTTGAAAATGTTGGCAAAGACATTCTGTTTTATCTCTGCACTTCATCAGTCTTATCCCCAAAGTCTTTCATGTTATGTTCTACAGTGAAAGGTCATTGTTTCAGATCAATCATTTTCAGTGAGACTTAATCCAGTTCTAAGTCAAACTAATCCACTTTGGTAAACGTTGAAAAGCAGTAACAATTCATTTGTTAAGACAGATCTGAGCTTATTTTTTAAATGTGGCTGTTGATGCTGAGTCCTTAATTGTGTATGCCCAGCATGAGGTGTCTTCGGAGTGGTTCCAAAAATGATGGACATCTAAATTCTGATCTTATCTGTGGCTTGCAAATGCTCAGGACTTTTGGAAAAATCCTGGGATTTAGTGGGATTTATTTTTTTTTGGTGTTCATTTTGGTTTTTAATTTTCAGTATTTGCTTAACAGAGGTTGTTTTCGTTTTTTTTTCCTCTTACCTGTAGAGCCTCTTTTCAAAATGGTGCTCTGGTGGCAGCTGCTGATAAGCAGGCTTGTTCATGTTTTCCTGTTGAAGTTTGTGAATTCTGGTAACTTTCTCTTCACTACATAAAGAGTAAAACAACATTCTTCTCTCTGGGCAGGACTAGCAAACTGTGGTTTGAAGCAGCTCGTGAGGGGTTAAAGCTGCTTTCAATTAGCTACCGTGTCCTCGCCACTTAAAGGAACCCCCCAACTGAGCATGCCTGACAACCTCCTGTGCATATCCCTGAATCATTCTGGCAAGGGAAAACTGCCATAATCTTTTATTCAGACATAGTGCTGCTTCCTCTGTGCGCTCTGAAATGAGCAGGCGCTTGAAAACAGCCCATTTCGCCACAGAGTGCTGGGGATTTATCAGCTTGTGTCTGCACAGGATTTTGGACATGCAGAAGGCTACTGTGTGTGAATGCTGAATGGTATGAAAAATACTGCAGTGATCCCAAAAAGGCTTCTGTGTACAAGACCTGCCCTGTCCCATGAGGGAGCAAGAGCTTCACAGGTTTTGTTCAAGTCCCTGACCTGTTTTAAGGGTCTTCCCCTTTTAGTGAATGGATACAGAGTGTACTTCCCCACATGTACGGCATGAACTCCGCTGCTGAGCAGCACTCTGGCAGTGTCAGCTTTCTCTCTTCATTCTAGGATTTACCTTTGAGTTATGACGGAGGTTCTGGGAGAGTGATTCAAGATTAATATGAAATTGAAATATGACAAATAGACTATTTTCACACACACTGTGACAGCCTAGAGGGTTCTGTTGCTCATTAAACTGTGGTGTATGGTTTGGCTAGAAATATGTCACTGAAATTACAGTCTCTTGTGGTTTGGGAAAGAATCATCACACTTCAGCTACACCCACTGCTATCTCGTGCTCTGATCTTGTCATTGGTGACAACACCTATACTCCTGATGCACACTTATCTCACTGTACTGAGGGAATGTGCTGCCAGGATTCTAACAATAAAAATTACAGATAGTCCTAAGCCTGGGGAAGAATCTGTCCTTACAGCACTATCTGAGCATCGTGCCCTGTGTAAGTGCCAGTCACAAGCATTTCCAAGAGCAGATGTTCTCAAACTCTTCGTCCCTCTTTCTCTACTGTGGTTGCCTCTACTTTGTTTGCTGTGATGTGGAAGCTGGTTAACCTCCCCCATGAGTGGGTGGTTTCTTCTGTTCTCTCTCTGTTTTTCAGTATCTTGTCCCTGAGACTTTCATCATTTAACAGTTCCCTAAATAAAACATTTCCCTGCTGCAGAAAAGAGAGGGAAGATCACCTGCTCAGGGATCAGGAGGATGTTAGTGGCAGGGACTTTGTAGCACCACTGCTGTAGTTCCGTGAGTCTCAGGAAGAGTGCCACAGAATGTGTGTGCTCCCTCAGTGCTACCAGGACAACCAGAGGGGAGGCTTTGTGCCTTGGGGAAGGGCTGGGAATGGCACAGGGTAGTTTCCTTGTCCTGTAGCCTCTTCACCAGTGTCCCCACAGCTCAACGTCAGCAGCGGGGAGACACCCTCTGAGACGGCTGTGGTGTCCCCAGTGCCCTGTGTGAGTGAGCAGTGAACTGGAATGGCATTTCAGAGGAGCTATTTGTGGAACATGGGTGCTGTCCAATAATCAGATATGCCTGTGGAGCAGAGCCACTGCCTTAGGTCACAGTGCAATTTTCAGTGCCATAAGTTTCTCCATCCACAAATTCTTGCTGGGTGTGGTCACTGCTGACAACTCTCAGTCCTGCCTCATGAGAGCAGTATTCCTGAGCTTTGATGGGAATCACGGAGCTCTGTAATGTCACGTGTAATGC